AGGCGCTGTCTTGTCAGAACCGCCCAGCTGTGTCATTACTGTTGTTAACGGTTAGCCTAAGGGACGCCATCAAGACGGGTATTCTAAGACTTGTGCTATAGGTCATTTTTCAGCAAAATGCTACGTATACAGGTCGTTTCTTGCAGCAAAAAGTCAACAGCTTCTTTATGGCTTTACTTGGAGTGACTGTCGTTAACGGTTAGCCTAGGGACGACATTGGCACGAGTTTGTATTCCAGAAGTCGCTTCATTTTTCAGCAAAAAGCCCGGCGTCGGTCAATAGCTTCCATTTATGACTTGACTTGGAGCAACGTAATGTGAAGTTTGAATAGCCTTGTGGCTGTAGGGAATACTTGTACATGGACATTTGCTACAATTCTGAGATAAGTTTGTAAAGATCCATTCATTCGTGTGAGGATACACATAAGAGGGCAATCGGGAATAAAGCTGACGATATACGTATTATATATTTCAAAAAGTCTCCATAGCTCGAAGGTCTGTGCGTTATTATGTAGGTAATTCACAGTCAGGGGAGTTGCCTTATTCATGCCCCCAAGTCTAAGGTCACATTACTTGTTTTGGCACGCTTGTCAATGCACGTCATTTTGTAACTAGGACGAAGCCCTGCATTTCAGTAGAAAATCAGCCATTTTCAGTAGGAAATTGGTACTCTCCTAGCAGAGGTTCGGGTTTCGGCTTAATTTTGGGATCTTTTAGGCCATTTCATCGGGCTCCCTTTTATGTACTGGCATTCATACTGGTATTTCTTTTATTTCAAATGGATACTGTCTGGCAAATGGATACTGTCTGGCAAATGTATACTGTCTGGCAAATAGATACTGACTAGCCAATCTAATACTGTCTTGCAGCCGCCAAAAGATCTGCTTGGAGATTAGGAAATTGGATCGAAGGTGAATGGCCGGAAAGAATCAGAGTTTTAATGACGCCCTGCAGACTAGAAGGGTGGCCCGGGGGAGGGTCTGTCACTTGCTCCCCTGTTACCAACAGGGGCAATAAACTGGGCCGAATTGCCCCTCCATGATACTTACTTGACAATACCTTGCCAAATGGTAATCTCCAAGCAGATCCTACGGTGGCAAGACAGTATTCAATGGTGCTTCGGTTTCCGTTCCAACCACCTGTCAGCTATGCCTGTCCTTGGTGCTGAATGTTGAGTAATTATTATCATGGAACGTTCTGTACATCTGCATATCTGTACCTGACACGGTATTACATTGGGGTATCCGTCCGCCTTCTCTGGCGATATAAAGCGTTATATATCATTCCCTCGCCAATGTGTTGGGCTCTGATGCAGAAATTTCTCTGATATACCCATGTCTGGTGCATGTCTGTATCTAACACGGCATTACACAGAGGTATCAGTCCACATTCTCCGACGATATAAAACGTTATATATCATTCTCTCGCCGGCTTGTTGAGCTCTGATGCGGAAATGACATTTTTCTAGTTGTATTCCCATACGGACATGTCTCTGATGCTCCTGTCTGGTTGTGCTCTGATTCGAAAATGCCAAGCAACTTAACAGTTAAAGCTTGAACTTCACGTTCATCCAGAGACTACATATCATCAATATATACTAGACTAGCGACTCGGTTGCCTCATATCGCAAAGCAATAATATTCTATCAAATGTATCCCCCTTTTTGCTGATGGCAAAAAATCACACACGGGAATCAAGTAAATCATGCCCACGAGGAAAAACGTTTCAATACCAATCCTCCAGTAGACCATGCTCGGTTTTCATCCAATTGTTGCTAAAGTTTTGAACGCATCCCTCAGATCGCCCCCTAGGGTCCGAACCTAAGCCATTCCCATACATTACAAGATGCATCTCAGAGATTACGCCGAGAGTTCGATTAAGAGGGCTTTTGTTCCATTATACAGTACAAAAAAATCAATACTCTGAACACCATTTTTATAGCCCTGGCGGAAAAGAAGCACTATTTTTACCCAGAAGACATGAAATTGGACGAGAAGAGCATTCTAATACTGGCGCTGATTCACACTAGATAGAATTGGTAACTTTTAAGTCAAAGTTTAACAAATTCTTATGATAATTTTAATGAAAACTGTGCAATACTTAAGGACACTGTGCAATATTGTATGTCCTGATGTGTTGTATGATGTTATGTGTCTTGCATGTTCGGTCAGTTATGGCCGACGTGACATGGGCTCAATGTTCCTTTCTTATATTTGTGAACACAGAATGATTTTACTACATCGGGGCAAGAGAACATTTTCTTCTTTCCCTTTTCATTAAGACTGCAGCAAGGCGATGTAATTCGGGCATAAGGCATCTACTAGCTGATTTTTTTAAACCTGCAAATAACTAGTACCATGTATGTTGTAGAATATAGTATAATGCTAGACGTAGATATAGTCTCACATACCACTGTATTTTCTTTCTTGTGTTGTTTGTAACTGCAATTAGCCCTCGGGCATGTATTTGCAATCAACTTTCGAATAACACAAAATCAGCAACATAGATGGAAGGTGCTGGGGAAAATGCTGTCCGATCTTTTATATGTGGCCGTGGTGGTTTACGTAGCAATCATTTTCCCAATTCTGAGGCTGTTTTTTCGTTTTTTCTTTTCTTTCTCTATTTTTTCCTTTTTTTTTCTACTTTATGAAATATATGTCTATTGTGCATCTCTACACCATGCCAAAATTTGACGATTAGAGCATTCTAATATTGGTGGTGATTTTCTTAGATCCTCCTATCTGTGCTTATTGCGGGGAAGTTATAAGAAGATTTACCTTGGGGAAGTGTGGGAGCTACACTGGTGTTAACGGATTTGTCTTGATGCCAACTCTCTGCGGTGAACAAGTGCGTATAGTAGGGGTGGGCGGGATCGTACATGGGATAGATATATGAAGATGGTATCGTGCTAAGCCAAAGAACAGCATACGAAATCCCACCTTGCTTCGCCGAATTTAGACACAAAATTACAAGGGAAAGAGGTATGTCTTCACCATGGATTTGCCTTATTTTTGCACCTAAGACGGATCAGAGTTGGCGGCACAATGATACTTCCGCAATATCTGTATCTGTATATCCGGTATAACCGCCCTTTGGTGTAACACAGCAGCTTCGCAGGCACGTGGTGCTGTGGCAGCTGGCTATATTACATCGAACGACTTTTTCACCTAACCATTGAACATCTAACTCTAAACATTATTTTTAAACAACTATAAACAACATACCAAATCGCTCCGACGTACGTCGGAAAGTAAAAAGCTGCGTCCTTGGCATTGTATTCTTATTTATGGCCTTATTTTACCCTCAGACAATGAGGTTATCAGCACCAGGCACCCCGGTATCCTTAACGACCGACTTCGCTAACGCAGTGTGAAGGTTTTAAGCGCGCAGAACAACGTGACTGATGGCTTGGATTATCACTAGACGCATCCTTCATCCCAGGAAACATCATGACTCTGGGCTTTTTTCTGCACCAATAAAAAACACAAACGACAATCATCATCAAAACGGAGCCACTCCCCGTGTGTGCCCTGGTCACAAGTGTGCCTTTGCTCTGGGGACGAGACCTGTGCCAAGGACCGTTAAGTTTAAAATCGATCAGCGTAATCTGGCTCGTGATTGGTTGCAAGTGTAGATCTTAAGGGGCCGTCCTTTATGCCTTTTGGTGATACCTTTATTGGCATGTCTGTGTTGATATTGCGTGCAGACTTTATGTATGTCCCTCCAGACACGTATTATCGAGAAATGATTCGCTAAGACGACTTCATGACATCTCTGACGGTTTGGGGTCAAAGTTAATAGGCTGTGGGCCACCGTACATAGACTCCGACTGATTATATGTGATGGTGTCATAAAAAAGGAGCATTATTGTTATTACTTTACATTCCTGTGGAATTAATATGGACAAAAATAGATTTATAACGATAGTCCAGACGTAGTTAGGGTTGTTACTTTGTAATGATCAAACAATTTGGCAGAATCAGCGCAGGTGCAAATCGATTGCATTGAAAACGGAGTTAATTCTTAGCTCTATCTGATTCTACTTGCTACAGCCTTGGTAATTTATTTCGCCATTTTCGAAACATTCGTCAATACATGACCTTAGGGAATTTGAATTTAGAAAGACCTTACAAAACTTATATGACCTTACAAAACCAAGGAATTTCTTACTTTGAATTTCCTGTATTTACTGTTTTGCCTGTCTTAAAGTTGCGTTTGTTTTTTCTTTATTACATGTATTTATTTAGTGGTGCCGTAAACATAAGTGCTTTCCACTTGAGTGCGGCACCACCATGTCTTGTACCTTTTTCTATGTGAACGAATAATTAAAAAAAAAAGGAATGCTGTTGTGCGTGTTTGTGCTTTGTCATAGAGTCATTAAAACTATCGAAACATGATCGTACGAGATTTGAATTTTCAAAGACCTTATACGACCTTACAAAAACTGCGCAAGGAATGTTCAATATGACAAACGTCAAAAATTTCCCAGACATCTACTTTGGTCCCTGAACTCGCGTTCCTTATGCATCACGGGATTAAGGTATTAGGAACAGCCAGACAAAACAGATGGACACGGCAGGGGGGCTATTAGGACTAGATGCACCTCATGCTACCACGGTTTATCAACTGGTTTAAAGATCACACCCGCCCTTCTGCAGCGTCGAATTAACTATTAGTCTCTTTGTGTGTCTCTCTCTCTGTCTCTCTCTCTCTTTCTCTCTGTCTGTCTCTCTTTTTGTCTCTTTCTCCTCTCTTTCTCTCCCCCCCACACACACGCACGCACGCACGCACAAACACACACACACACACACACACACACACACACACACACACACACACACACACCCATACATACCAAGCACACACACACACACACACAAATACATACATACATACGCACAAACACATACACATTTTAAGGTAAGGTTGATATAATACGAATACGACGCTCTCCTTTATACAAGAACTTCCTCGTCAAAACGAGTATAGAAAGAAACTCACCCGAGTCACCGGTGTATCCCCATGATCCGTGCTGAGCATCAGCTGTGGAGGAGAACAACAGACGGGTAAGTCAAAAGTAGCACAGAAGGAATTATACAACACCAGAGGCTATCTACGTTACGGGAAACACACCTTTAACATAGACGAAGGGGCTTAAAAAATAATAGCGGCGGGAAGCAGGGCTCCAGTCAGAAGCTCTGAGGAAGATGTCTCATATAAGACAGTTGTGAAAAAGAAAACCATAATATCCTATAGACGGTGGGCGGTATCAGCTTCCTACCATATTTATAGAATGGTTTATTACCTTCGCCAAGAAGGTTATGTTTTCAGTAGCGTTTGTCTGTGGGTATGTGTGTGTGTGTGTGGTTTAGCAAGATAACTCGAGAAGCAGTGGATGGATTGGAATGAAACTTGGTAGGTGGGTAGGTCTTCATGAGACCTAGAAATGATTAGATTTTGGGCCCCCTGGAGGCTTTCCTAGGTACTGCAGCTGAACTCCCGGTTTTGATCTTTCATGTTCTGGACATGCTAGGGTCACAAAGTTTGGTTGGTAGATAGCTCTTGGGGTAGGGAAGAAGTGACATGAGTTTGGGTCCCCTAGCGCCTTGTTCTGGAACTGCAGGAGCATTTGTTGAAAAAAATTTGAAGGACGATAACTCAAGAACCGGTTGACGTATTGTCGTGATTTTTGGTATGTAGGTAGTTGAAGTGATGCTTGACATAAGCAGATGGTAATTATGCAAATCAGGAGCTAATTTGCATAATTAATGAGGAAATTCTATAAATCTGCTTTGTTCGATAATAGAACTATGAAACACTTGTGGCATCTACTTGAGAACGAAAAAAACATCTCAGGATATAGATTATGTAAATGAGGACCTAATTTGCATAATTAATGGAAAATGTTTATAATTCCATAGTTGTAACTGCTGCACCCCGAATTTATACTTGCCACATTTGGAAGTTAAGTGAAGGTGAACATCAATAAACATAAGTTATTCAAATCATGACTTAATTTGCATAATTTATGTGGAAGTGCTATAATAGCCTTTTTATTAATAGAAGACTGTCATTGGGTGGAGAATATGATCAACTGATATAATCCATGCAAATGAGGCTCTTATTTACAAAATCAATGATTAAAATTGTAGAATTCATCACCCGCAAGGGTTAACATTATTTGGCGAAGGTATGAGATCGTGGAACTCTTGTTATACAATGGTTTATTATGCGATACAAACTCATCGCAGCTTATGAGCTGAATTGCGAGTTAATGTACATATACAAGTTTTCACAAGATGACATATACAATAGCTCTAAAAGTTTACAAACTGCGAACAGGTGACAATATATATTTAATCATGGGAAATTACTGACGTCACGGATTCATAGTCACGTGTTCTTAGAGGCTGGTCACACGATCTTGAAGAAGACTTGAGGGTGTGCCGAATCGAATTGAGACCCAACAAGACTGGCAATGAAAACATACATTGCCATGGCGACGGTGGTTGCTGTTAGGGTTATTGTTTGCATGGCACTGCCATAATTTCATGATTTTGAGGAAGACCTGGTTCCTATCAAAACTAGACAGATACAGTGCACTCCTCCCATGAGTGTATAGTGAACGAGCCCTGGGGTCACAGGAAGTAGGGCCATCCGGGGCAGACAGGTCTTCCCAATGGAATGGTTTCCAGGAATGTGGGCATAGATGTGGGTCAGAGACATGCCTGTGGACATTCCGTTCCTGTGGACAAAATGCCTGTACCATTCCTAGAATTCTTGCAAACTGCACACAATACTGTACCATTAGGCTCCTCCCTGAGACGTCGCCAAAAATAAACTGGGGTGTGCCCCCTTAAGGTCAAAAGAACTTTTGCTCAAAGCTACAAAGCTACAAAGCCACTTCGTGACTGCTAATGACCAGTGCTGCACGAGAGAGACCATTAAGCTCCTACTATCGCGTGCGGTCACAACGTCCTTGTAATGAGGTCAGAACATGGACGGACATTACCTTCAATACGGCTTTACGTCGGGGTCAATCAAGGAGAAGTTGTTAACTAAAGTATATTCTTCTGTTTCAATCATTGACTTGATGTAATTGACTTGAATAATATCTCTGATAGTGCTTAACTTTTTCTTGTACTCAGTTAAACTCTTGTACTTATAGGCTTTAATCTAGGAGACGTTGTTAACCAAATATTCTTCTGTTTTACTTGTTTGACTTGAATAATATCTCTGATAGTGCTTAGTTTGTCTTTTACTCAGGGGCTAATTCTCAATATCTACCGACTATAATGCTAAAATTGTGTTACTTACAAAAACTTTTTTTTACATTAGACAGACCCAACCCGTCTTGTTCTATTAACCATATTAAGCAGTAATTTGTAGAAACGTTGATTTCGAAAATGTTTATTTCTTTTTACATTAAGAAAACGTTGCTATCTAGACTGGGAGCCATCCGCTTTTGTACCCAAAACGCGGTAGCGAGTGCAAGTAGCTCACTTACAAAACGCATGCCACCCAGGCTATTCGCTATCTATATTGGCGACGAAAATTGCAAAAAGTTTGGCGCCATGCCTTTTATTCCAATTAAATCATTAATAAACTTCCTGCATACAAAAATAAGTGGCAGGTAATATGAAACCGCTCGGTGTAACTCGAGCTGACCTGCTGACAGAAAAGGTTTGGGGGAAGGTTGATAATTGACATACGCGGGGTGCCTCGCACGACCGGGCGCGCGTTCCTCACATTTCGACTCCGCGGCCTTTGCGGAGAAGGTCGAACTCAGCCGAAGATTACTTCATGTGGGGCCACAACGACTTCATCTTATGGATGACATCCACACGCGCAATTTCGCCTGTTATAAAAAAAATCACGTCTGGCCTGGCTCTAGGCATGGGTAGTCCATGGTAGTTAGCGACAATACGGAGCCGGTGGTATCCCTGGAGGATGGCACCCAGGCTACCGAAGCTCCACGACTCAAGAACTCAGTACATACGTACAGTGCCTATTCAAAAAGCCAGCATGTGGCGGCTTGTTGCGTACGTCGCTATATACTGTTGCAAATTCACAATACCAGCTTTGTATTCCTTCGGTTTAGTAGCATTTTTTTTATTTTTGGCCGGATTTTTTTTATCCGCCCGCGCGCACTAGTGTTGGGGTCTTCAGAGGATGTCATCCATAAAATTAAATCGGCGTGGCCTAGGATGAAACACGGCCGGGTTAGGATGGCAGACATGTTTTGTGACCCCATTACCTTACCAGACGCCGATCCATGCACTGTACACGAGCCGGGCGCTAATCATAGTTTGGAAGGGCCACTGAGGCCATGTTGATTTGATTATATGGATGACATTCTCTGGGAATCACAAAACTGATGCGAACGTGTGAATAAAAAACCTTTGGCAAAAAAAGTATGAAATCTACGTGCGTGGCCATGAAGGTTGAACAAACGCACTTAGTATGGTATGGTAAATAACAGACTCTTCATCACTCACATTTTAGTCTTTTCCTTTGGAATCGATTTTGGCATTCCACGACATTAGTATCGTTTTCCAATATTCTTCTGCAACTTATGGCATATATTTGCTCATTGTGCATGTACTTTGTACGATCGATTTACAGTATGGTTTAAAACGTTTTTTTTTCTTGAAACGGACCAAAATTCATGCGCGCGTGGATGTCACCATATAATCAAATCGACGTGGCCT